TAATGATAATAAGAGTAACAATGACAACCCATTAAAAAATCAATGAACAACAAACAGTAAACAGAACCAAATGAATGAGGTACTGAAAATTACCCACCCACACATACACACACACACACAGTTATTAACTGGCTACGCACTAAAAACTTATATAAATATTTGATCTGTGTGTGAGCAAGCCTTCTTCTAAAAATAACCATCTAGCGGCCAGATATACACATATGTAAACCATACATACATGCATGCAAACACACATACATACATACCAATGTATACATACTTATATACATACATGAGGCAATATAAACAAGCTCTGGAGTACACCCAACACAAATTGATAGTGTGCAAATTGAAGTAGCGACTTCTTCATATGCACCACCTCACCTACCTATCTGCTACCAGGAGAGAAAGAGAGAGAGAGAGAAAGTGAAAAAGAGAGGGAGAGAGAGAGAGAGAGATGGACTCGATGAAACCCACCAGCAACACCACACAATATCACTCTATTGATTTTTTCTTCAGGTAGATCAGACCGCATTCGACTACTGCTTCCATGCACAAGACAATGCCAAGGTTGAACGAGGAGTAAACGAAAATAACAACAAACAATAGCCACAGCAACATAAATAATAATAACATCAACATCAAAGAACAGTAACAAGCCCCTTTGAAAGGATAATGTCAAAAACAACAACCATGAACTAAAACTAACGTCAATAAAAAGTCATGAGCAAAAGATGTCAATAAGAAACCGCCTACCTGCAACAGCACGCACAACCGCACATAGAAACTACATACAAACTACATTAAAACTACATACAAACTACATACACACAGGCAAACACAAACTGCATACACACAGGCACACACAAACTACATACACGCGCATACACAAACTCACATATAAACCCACGCGCGCACACGTGCACACAATCACACAAACAATTTTGCATCATTATCATTATTATTTCTGCTCCAGAGCTAAAAATAATATTTTTAAACACTGTAATGATATAAAGGATATTATGCAGATTGTAGTCGGTTGCATGTATTTTCATTGAAATCATATGATAAAAAATGCAAAAGATCACTTTGAAACACATCATACACAGAACATTCCAAGTTTCATAAAAAAAACAATAATGAATGAAATGTGTAACTATAATCCGGTCCAAAAAAAAAAATTAGAACGAATAAGAAAGAAAGAAAATGGTGTAGAAGCCAACATAGAAGCCATAGAAACAGATTTTTTAATTGCATTAGCCGCCACTTTCCAAAAATTAATATATTAACTAAATTTATTGCAAACCAATCAGAATGTTGAACAATTCAGATCCGGTAAGAACTAGATCAAACAAGAAACTATGTAAAGAAAAGGCTATTCATTTTGTTTACAAAGCAAACAAAAATTGCTCGCTGCACGCTATGGAGATATAAACTTTTAAAAATTTAATTAAAGTAGAAATTAATAACAATAAAAGTGTCATAGGTTTTTGCAGAAGCACGTGACCTATCTATTGCATATAGTGTCATCAACATGTAAACAAAAATATTTGAATGGAACAACCAAGGAAATATTTAAGAATAAATTTGACCTGTTTTTTAGTAGGCTCTCAACATTAATACGTTATCATGTGTGCAGATATAATTTATAAATTTTGTTAGCTTTCTGAAATTTTCATGTAAATCAATTATATTAAGGTAATATTGTAGTGTACACAGTTGAAAATCTATGAAAAAATGTAATAATATAAAATTATATTTACAAGAAAGCCCTCTTAAAAGATAACCCATTAAGTGGACTTATAAGTTGAAAAATTGTCAAGCTCTTGAAAAACAGAAACAAACACATTTATTCAGTGATGGAAATCACTTGTAGAGACAACAGAACAGATGCCTTTTTTCTCAAAGATAATAAAAATTAAAACGAAATTTTTCTTAAATGTTTATTTTATTTAAAAAAAAAGTGTGATAGTTCATAAAAAATATATATATATTATAAACCAAAATCAATATTAAAAATAAAATAATATTATAATTAAAATAATTATTTCTATATTATCCTAAGCTAACCTTATAGACGACGACATCAACAGATAAGCTGCAAATGTAGAACTGGACACGGGTCTTTGAAGTGATTGTGTTGGACGACAACTTCCTCAAAAGAAATATCTAGAAATTCAATTCCATTAAAATAATTATGGCTGGTATCTGTTTATGGTGAATAGATACATCTAGTTTAAGATTTGCCCTAGTTAGTGTGGTGATTAGACAGATCTAATTTATTTCATAATTTATATGGAGTGTCTCAGTCTATGGAATCATATTGAATGTTTCAAAAAAGTATTAGTTTAAACTCTAGTTAAAAAAAGCAGTAACCTAATAATTCAAACATCCATTCATGCATAGATGGAAACAATCCAAATGGATAATTTAGTTTAAGAGGATGCTGGTTTAAAGCTAGTTAAACATTTCTTTACCAGAAAAAAGAAGCTAACAACTCTACCGAAAAATAATGACAATGGTGGCAATAATGTAATAAGCGAAAATACATTATACCGTCAGTGGCAACAACTGTGTATAATTCTGTCAATATCATGTGAATAAAAATCACCAACTACCAATTACTACTAAATAGAGACAATCAGTTGTTGATCGCGATGAATTACAAATGAAGATAGAATAGTGTAGAGAGGAGACCATTCATAAATATTAAGCAGTTCACATACCTAAAATTAAATGTCAATCAAATGCTGTTTCAAGTGTACAACACTGAGTAATGTATGCGTGTGTGTTTGTGTCTACGTGTATTTATGTATGTGTGTATGCATGATTAATAACATTAGAGCAACATATGTTAGGGCATTTTGTTTAAAATCGCGACAGAAACGCAAAATATTTCGCGGTCCTGTATTAAATATGTGTGCCTGACATATGAATGATATTATTTTTAGATCTGATCAATACTTTAATAGAAAAAACACAAAAACCTAAAAATTTATTAGTTATGCTATAATAATAATAATATTATTATTATCACGAACATTATTATAAGTGGCATTATTAAGCATACCTACCTGTCTGTTGAAAGCTTCGTAATCATCGGAACAATCTCCAGTTACAAACACCTGTAGCAAAAATAAATTATATTATGTTTACAAGCTCGTTATTAACAAATAAAGTAAACTGTTTTATGTTCTTCATATTTTCATCATCATTAGCAAATAAACCAATTCTTGCTGGTTAACGCTAGCTGCAGAAATTAAAAAAATAATGCACTACATGTTAACGCATATGAAGCACAAAAGACTTATGTACAACGGAGAGGCCATGTAAAATACAATGACATTTAGTATATCTACCATGTTTCAAGTTCAAAAAACATTATAGATAAAAGTGTTCATACAAATGAGATCATAGCGTGATCATGTGATCATTACTTTAAATAGGATCATCATAATTACATCATCTGCAGGACATCATCATCACAAGCAGGTGTCTATTCCTCAGTGAGGAAATAAAAGGAATCTCAAGTTAGAATTATTACACAATACAATTTATAAGAAGGGCACCAAACGAGGTGAAACCATCATCATATCACTATTATTATCACCATCATTACGGCATAACTTCATCATCAATCATAAAACTGCACACCCATATCATCACCATCACCACTGTGTTTAGTCTACATAGTTCAGTCAAGGGAATAAAATAACCAATTGTCTAGACATGAACAGACAGAACAGAAGCCACAGCAGGAGAAGCAGCTGCAACAACAACAAGAACAGACCATTCTATCTTCATTCTTTCTAAGCACATAGAGCCTAAAAACAGATCTAAGAACAGATCTAAGCATACAACAAGAAAAAAACATCTGCACTTTGGTCACAGCGATTTTTCAAAAAAAAAAAACAAAAAAATAACAAAATGAAAAAAAGATCTTGAAGTACATAAAAACGCAGGGAGTTCAATTAGTAATGCAAATAAACAACTGGAGAATGAAATCAGTTAATTAAATGCTAAAACAATGAGCCATGTAATCAATGTCAAATAGGTCAATTAAAACGTCTTGTTGCTTATATAAAAACAAATGATCATGAAGACCGTGTATTCCAATTAACGGCACGTTACCGGTGTATGGGAGAAAGAGAGGGAGAGAGAGAGAGAAGGGGGAGCGGGAGAAAGAGAGTTTACTCATGCATGCACTTGTTTGTTCCCAGAAGCGCTTGCTTCATTCGAAACATTTTACTTATGTCTTATAAGAGCAGTAGGAATCCAACCCAATGCACTTAATAACACCTATAAATTTGTAAATACAAATAAATAATTAATGATCTTCAATAATATATACATTGTAAAAGTTTGTATGTAAATTGTAATCTGTTTGTTATTGTCAGCTAAGGCCTATTTGTTGATATGCTGAAATGAACAGTTTGATACTAAGTTATTTATTTAAAAACTTCAAAGATGTAATCCAAAATTAAGAGCCAACAGTTTTAATGTTTAGCAAAACTGTAAATAAACAATTTTTTATATATAACACAATAAGAATAAACTTGAAAAAAAAATAATTATAATGATAAAAAGTGAATGATAATAATTGCTGCCATGTAAGCAACCTACCTGTCTGATGAGAGGTTCGTGCTGCCTCGCAAACTCACCTATGTACTGGTTGTTTGTCGGCACTGTTCTCCAGCACAATACCTTTCAAATCAAAATTTATTTTCATGCATTACAAAAACATTTACCAAAGAAACAACAAAAAAATCCAATCAAATATCCCCTGTTAAAAATTGGGAAAAAAACATTCAAAATTATCTTGTATATTCTAATTTCAATTAAAGACAAGTTTATAGATGAAATTTTTTAAAAATTAAGAGTAGCGCACCGAAAAATCAACACTTAATTAACGTATGAATAACCTTCAATTTGCATTTTTGCGCATACTCATCGAACAAATCCTCAGCCACTTTTGATTTGCTCCTATCCTTATCTGTGAAGATGAATCCAGTAGCATACTTTCCGAGGTCTGGTAAGATAACTGACTCATCTTGAGACCTTGTGGGATAGTAGTACAGTGTGTGCAAAACTACTGTATATATGCAGCATAAAAGTCTCAGTAAGCAACATAACACTTTATATACAAGTCTCAGTAAGAAACATAACAATCTATATACAAGTCTCAGTAAGCAACATAACAATCTACATACAAGTCTCAGTAAGCAACATAATAATTTACCTACAAGTCTCAGTAAGCAACATAACACTTTATATACAAGTCTCAGTAAGCAACATAACAATCTACATACAAGTCTCAGTAAGCAACATAATAATTTACATACAAGTCTCAGTAAGCAACGTAGAAATCTACAAGTTGATTTATAAAAACAGACCAGAATATTATAAACCTCTTACACTCAATATGCAAGAAAGTAATGTTAAAACAAAAAAAATTTATAAAAGTAGAAAAAAAATGGAAAGAAACGTCACAGTGACATACTTCATGTGAGAGGCGTACAACTCATGAGGAATGCCAGTGAGTATGCCTGCCCCATCACCGGTGTCATCATCACCACTGGTTCCTCCACGATGGATCATGCGCTCTATCATCACTTGTGCATCTCTTAACAACTGTGTGTGCGTGCGTGTGTGTGAGTGTATGTGTTTGTGCAATAATGTTTTTTGAAGTATAAAAAAACAACAGAAAATATTCAAATTTATTCATAGAGCTGTTATTGGTTATTGGATATATAAAAGCTGTAGACATGACTTTCAGTAAATAATTTTATTAAAAATAAATTATTTACAAAAATATTCTGCAAAAATGTGTAGACATACAGATCTAAAGTTTAAGTTCTTCTACTTGAAAGCCTCCCAAAAAGTTTACAAAAAGTCTCAATTACATATAACTTTTCAAAGCAACATTTCAGACAATAAACTCATAACTTAAGTAAGTACAAGACAAATATTTTTAGCCATATAAAAAATAATTTTTAAACTTTAAATCACTCTTTGAAATGATGAAAGATGACAAAGATAATGGATAATATCATACTGCAAACAAAACAACATAAGGTAAAAATTGCCACAAATTATTAAAATTAGACATAAATGTACATTAGAAATGAAGTATAAAATACTATTGCACCAGTAAAAAATCATTATGTGAGTACCAAATAGCTGTATTATATGATTAAAAAATAATAATCTTCAGTAATACATGACATGATAACATGTATAATAAGCCTATATATATACTTTCATTTTATTGATAACAGAAATATGATAATGATAAACTTAAACAAACAAAACTTCTGACTTATAAAAAAAAACTACAACAAATTGCAATTGATATGATTTAATACTTATTATAAACCAAAACCCACACAAGAGTACATTTATCAAGTAATCTGTAGTCTTTAAACACTACATAAAAATTTATGATTTAATGTTAATAAGTGATTTAAAAAGAAAAGAAAAATGATTTGATGATTTAAAAGAAGAGTACCTTTTCAGATCGAATGCCATTTATGCTGACAACAAAACCAACTCCACATGCATCTTTCTCAAAGCTGGGGTCATACAGGCCCTGTTTTGGTGGCAGGCCATACATTCCACCCTCCAACATTTTTTCAAATTATTTATTTTCAATTAATTTTTTTTCACTTTTATATTCTTAAAATACTTTATTTTGTTTAAAAAAAAATTTTTCAATTTATATATGATCTTATAAAAGTTAACTTATGATAACAAATGATTGTAATTTTGTTGTTAAACATATAATTCTAGGTGTATATCAATCGTAATCAACATATAATTACCATATATAACATAATGTAATAAATGCTAAAACCTTGACTAGTTTTTCTGTTAAAAATTAAAAATATATATAATAATTTTGTATTATATTAACTAATAATATTATTATATTTATATTAATAGACTTTTAAGAAGTCTAATAAAGTTTTTAAACACAAAACAATCAACATCCACGTCTGCTTCTCTCTCTCTGTTTTCGTGTAGTCTGTTTAAAGTCCTGTGGAGAAAAATAATTATCTATTCATCAAACAAATTTAGTAAATTAGTCATAACTCATAGTATTCAGTATGTATGGATTGTATTATTAATCATAGTTAATTTCATTGCAATTTAAATTTCTAAGAAAGAATTAAGAAGGTTTTTATTTAGGTTTTTTTATTTTTTATAACATTTTATTTTCCAGTGCGTAAGAGTTAAGACCTTAAAGTGTTTTTAATTAATTTAATTATTTAAAGATTAACAACAGTTTTAAAACAAACAGTTAAAAAAAATATTAAAAATTAAAGTTATTAGTTAAAAGTGCTTTTAAGGGAGCTTTATATTTGCATTATTGAAATCAAATATTGAAAAATTATAAAATTATATTATAAGAATAAAAAAAAACAAGCTTTAATTTTTTTTTAAATTTTATTAAATAAACAAGAAAATTCTAACAGTAAAACAGTTTTGAAAGGATAAAAAATAATTAACGTTTCGCACAATTGAAAAATTTGAAAAAAAAATTACTTGAAAATAATCAATTGATATTTCTTTTTACAAAATAATATAATGCTCGAATTGTTAACAAATTTGAAAAACCGTCGAAAAGCGAACTGCACGCAACAACAGAACCAAATATGAAAAGCAAACTTGCTTATTATTTATTTATTTTTACATATATGTATGTATATATGTATATATATACATATATATATATATATTTGTATATATATATTTGTATGTATATATATATATATATTTGTATGTTTTATACATATATATATAGGGAAAATTTCCGAGGCAGCAGGTCGGAAATTCTCACCCTTTATAAACTCACGTATCTGTAAATTCAGGTCGACTCACAAAATATATATAAAATTGAATTCCAAATATGAAAAATTATCCTACTTTTGTCAACAACTCTTATATATAAATGTACAGTGTCATAACCATGGCATAATTCAGTCTGCGACTATATGAAACATTCTTCAGGTATAGGTTTTCTATATTTTATGTTATTTCTGCTTTTAGCACAAGTTATTTCATCTTCTAAAACTAAGGATGGTGTCACAAAAATTTTATAGTTTACTTATTTTTTGATATGAATTAACATACAATACTTCAATGTCGGAATGGGTTTGGGTAGTGTGCAGATTCTAACTTGCAAATTTCAATTACGAAATTATATTTTCATGCTCAGAAGATTGAGTAAGAAACTGGTAACAAACTACCAACCTAATTCACTATAACAGCGCCACATTCTCAAAAATAATTGATTTATTATAGTGAATTGTTCTAAATGATAACAATTTATGTCTAAAAACTAACAAAGATAAGTATTCCTAGCAAAAATTGCACTCTAAGGCAGTTGGTACGACTGAAATTTTATTGTTGAAACATTGATCAATAAGGGTTGTGTTTCATTGACAATCTCGTTGATGATGGCTGCAAAGTTAACGTCGGCCCTGACATAAATTCCATCACCAATCATTATTGTTACTAAAATATACATTACACTGTTAATAATCTAATATTTTTATTCTTTTTCTTATCAATCACCATTCTATGAAGATAAAACAAGAAAGAGATGAAGTCCTTGAAATTAAATAATTCTATTTGACATTCACGTCATTTATATTATAACTACAAACAAACACAGTCAACAGGTACAAAATAATTTTTTTTCATATTTTTTTACATTTTATATAGAATGGCAAACTGCAAAAAATGTACAGAGGCACAAATGAATATGAAGATCACCACTTTGAAACGTTCATGTATAATCAAATTCAATAGTATAAATACAAAACTAAATTAAATAACATTAGCTAATATAGAGAGAGTAACTGTCATTTAAGATGATGATGAATAAACTCAATTGTCAGTAAGGCCATGTGTGAATTTTGATGATCAGTGTGAATTTTGATGATCGGTCTGATTGTCGCTTTTCATTTCAATCTCGCTTCTTTCATCGTAAGAGGTACGTTTATAAGATGAATAGATAAATAGCAATGTAGGTCGTTATGCCATAAATACGTTTGCACATCGTTTATGACATATAAGTATGTACGTATAAATGCATATATATATAATATATATATAATATATATATATATATATATATAATATATATATGCATATATACACATATATATAAATTTTTACAAATATAAATAAGAGCAAACTTGCTTTTCTTGGCCTAAAATTATGAAGATTCAGAAAAAAGATTAATAATAGTGCTATCACGTAGAAACAGATTTTTAAATCATTAGAAAATAAAATATGTTACATAATACTTCATTCAAGAATAAATACAAATCCATTTTTATTTATATTAACATAATTTTTTTTATTAATGTAAAAAAAAACAAAAACAACAAATCATCAACATTTTACTGTGAAAATAACGGTAAAAAAGAAAAAGAAAAAAAATATAATGTGATCATGATATCCTGGCCAGATGGCAATCCCGACAAAGTAATAAATCATCAAGAGGGTAGCAGAGTTTGTCCGATTTATCTGTCAACTGAACACCACAATCCTAAAACGTAGTACAAACATTATTAAAGATGTGCTAAATTTCAATAGTGACGGCATGTACTGTGTGCTTAGTGTTAAAGCTGGTTGACGTTTAATTTCTGTTTATGATCTGGTCTTGGCAGATTCTACCTACTCTAAGTATTTAAATTCTAAACAAGCTCCTTCCCTAACCTTAACACTGAAAAAACTACAAAATTAAGTTAAAGGCTTCAAAGTTTAATGCCCTTAAACTAAATTCATGTTACGAAACATTGCAGCCTTTCAAATTAAAAAATTCTGAATGTTTTGAATAAGAAATGATTTTGAAAACATTGAATAATTTAAAAATAAAAATACTGGTATTTAAGATAACTTAAGACTAATAAATCATAGGCATCCTGATCATAAAATGAAATGCATTGACTGAAAAATATCCTAATAGAAAAACATAAATTAACTCTCAAATGCTTCAGAAATTTATAATTTTTTATAAATCACCACCTTTGTGCTATACATTTTTTAGGTACGTTTGTTTATGATATGTGGACGATTAAATTAAAATTATTCAACTGTGTGAGTTGCATTACATCAACCACTCAAACGTTTACCATTAATCTTATTTTTCGACTCAAAAACAGGGTAACTTAATATTTCACACAATGATCTAGTTTGAACATTGAGCTATTGAGGCACATATGAGATGAAAAGTAGTAGAAATGAACGTTGAATGAAAGGAATGAACCTACATTGCACTTGTAACATTCTACATGAAAATCCTTGTCCATTGAAACGACCCTCACGGTACCATCGTTGCCCTAATGTTAGCGTTTATGTTCATCAGAGTGAGAATAATTTTAAAAAATAAATAAAAACATACATAAATGCACATATAACCTTTATGAAATATAAAACCACCCATAACCTAATCATTTAAAAAAGTCTATATAATACATTAAATGATATATAGTTTCAAAAATCTAAATCGTTTTATCAATAATAAGGGAACATTAAAATGTAAAAATGAGAAACAAACCTGTTTAGGAACAATGCTGAGACCACATGAGGCACATTTCGGCGCATAGATGCTGTGTTGTTGTATCAATGTGATAAAAAAGTAGCATTTATTGTTCAGCGTAATTCACAATCACAATCAAATAAAATGTTATACTATAAAAATAATCTATTGAAAAGATAGTTTAAATAAATAAAAACATGCAAACAATAATTTTTTTTAATGAAAACATTTAAACTTCTCTTGTTTATTTACAAGTGAAAAGATGCATTTGATGGAAAGTAACCTATGATAATCACTGATGCAGAAAATTTTGTGATTGACGTCAATGGTGAATGGAACCCCGTCAAGACATTGGTGGCACACGGAACACCGGAAGCAACCAGGGTGGTATGACTTGCCCATCGCTTGCAAAATCTTTAATTGAGTGTTTTATAATAATTAATTAATTAATCAATTAATTCCTAATCTTTTAATTAATTAATGTAAGATCTCTTAATATCAATATAAACCAATGTTGCATTTAACAAGAAAGCATTCTCAATTATTCAAAACCAAATTTCGTTCCTTATGAATATTTCTCCCTCATTAGCACAATTTTTAGGAGGATATAATAATTTATGACTGATTTCAACAAATCTAAACATTTGTAATGTGGAAACTACATAATAAAATTTCTCAACCTTTATTATTACATTCAATAAATAACGCTGCGAGCAAACATCCTCAATTTTTCAAAACCAAATTTCTCTGAAGCTTAATGACACATTCACTTTATTTATTCATTCCATTTGATGACAATCAGAGCATGGGTGTACTGGCAGATAAATTTAACACTGTTCACCATAAAGGTTACAACTTTACAACTACAACAATTACAACTTTAAATACACATTGCATTATATTCAACTATTTTTCCATTACCGTGTGTTACTCTGTTGAAACTTGCCTCAACACACTCTCAAGAGTATTGTATTTAGAAACCAACAACGCTATGAACACTACTATTTTTCAATTATTTCTTGGGTTATATATTACACCACTTAATTCCACAGATCAAGCATTTGAAATGAGGAAACGACTACATAAGATATGCTAAAACTTTAACATTGATTTAATTTAAAGGTAATTAAATGAAAAGAATGGCAGACTAAATGAATGAATCATAAACACCAACTGTATCTATGATCAAATGATCACACATGACACATTTTTCCGACGTTTGCTGAAATCCTGAATACTGTTTATGAGAAAAAAAATGTTTATGTAAGTAACTTTATACGCACATTTTTAAAAGAAAGATATAAAATAAAATGTAGATAAAACACAAAGATAAAAATGCAAGCATACCAGGTAGTCATCCTCACAGTAAACCTTGCCTTGTATGTTGTAGAAGGCCTTGCCCTTCAGTGCCCGACCTTCAAAAATAAGCGTAACACTTGTTGAATATTTATGAAAATAATCAAATAAAGTGCAAAAAAAACAAATGAAAAATTCTTGTAGTGAAGGACAACACAACAAATCATGTGATGACTAATTCTTGAAGAATTTGCAAGAATGAAAGTGTAATGTAGGACATTGAGCTGAAGTTTGATGACAAATACATCAACAGAGGCAAATAATTTTCATGAAAAACATACAAGAACATGAAGAAAAAGATGAAGATGTGGCAAAAAAAGAACGAGACTAACTACAAGAACAGCATGTGAAGCAAGAGGAATGATACAAGTTGCCCATGGCCTGGCATGCATTCGATAGTCCTGTTATTTGTTGCTGGCATTTCGTGCATAAACCTTTTTTTTAGAAAAAAAAACATTATTTTTGGTTAAATATAACTGAGGTATAATTTTATGAATAATGCTTGAAATGAAATTTATAACAATTATGATCTAGATCAATAATTTTCAGTGTTAAAATTTTACCAAGATAAGATTAAATTACTATCACAAATAAAAAATTTAAATAACCAGGAAACAAAAAACAAACAATAAAAAATAATGAAAAAAAAATAAATATAATGAACCACGGACAAATAACAATTAACAATGATAAATACCAAAATTAACGTGCGAGTCATCATCCTTCAGGTGGCAAACGTTGCTGTTCGTTAAATTGAAGTTTAACTTTTTCTCGTCGACACTCGGAGCTTGGTGCGATGTCGGATGGTCAGTTTGATATGTGGATGATGGCCCATCTTTACCCATCGCTAACGGAGTGTTGTTGTTTTGATTGACATCCGTGTTCGTCATGTGGTAGCCGTAGTAGGGAGGCGGGGACCTCTGCTTACCGAGGTTACATTTGTCTTGCATCTGACTACCTAATGAGTAAGCAATACAAAATTAATGTTTAGTTAATATATTTAAAAAAATTTGAACACAACTAACAAAAATAAAAATAATGTAAAAATGTGTATGTGTGTGTGTTTATGTATTTACAATACATGCAATTTTAGGATCTTTATGGAAAAAAAAAGTTGAACAAAATTGTATTGTGCTTCAGCAAATTGGTGTTGAATTAATCAAGATGTTAACGTGATTGAATATTTTTATCAAATACCAAATTAAAAAATTCATCATTCATCCTTGGCAGCATAAAAAATATTTAATATTTCATAAATGGATTGTTAAACAAAACCAAGGTATGAAGACAAATTTAATTTAACAGGACCCAACATACCTAAAATTTTCATTTCTTGCTCTAGTTTATAAGCATAAGCGCTCATATTTTTGTCAGGATCTGTTAATTTATTCAACTGAGGTATTGCATTATATACTAAATTACACATCTTGTCTGTTGTTGTTGTTGTTTGGTTGTTGACACTTGAAAAAGATTCGTTGAAATTTGGTGTTACTTTTATATTTTTTAGTTGTTGGTTGGTATTGCTGCTGGGTCTTTGAGCCCCTAACTGTTGAGAGAAGAGGTTTTGATATAGATTGATGTTATTATTATTACCATAGTTGTGGTAGTTTAGATCAGTCTGTTTTAGATTTTGATTTGATTGTGAATAAATTGTTGTCTTGGGACTTGAACGTTTTGAATCTTCTGATAAGCTGCTGATGCTTGAATGTGGACTCACCTGTTGCAATGTGCTGGCATATGGGGTGGACCTTACTTGAAAATAATTTGAACTGTTGTTGTTCATAGTTACTTTTGCATTCTGAAGAAATAACGGCGAATTTGAACTAATACTGGAATACCCAGACGGTGATGTGTCGGCCATACTGTCAACTCCTAACAGGAGGCAATTATCATTGTTGGCAGAAAGCATGTGCTGCTGGTTAGGCGGGTAATAGTAGGGAGGTGGTTTGCTTGGGACTTTCTTCATTTCAATGTTCACACTGCCTCCTAGTGGGTCCCTCGTTATGTTTATAACATTTGTAATTTTTGCAGGTTCAGAATTGTCAAAAAGGTATTTTCTATTCACGTTTTGACCATTTCGCATGTTATTTTGATCCATTAAAACGTTTTATACTACAATTTATTTACAACTTACAAATATTTTAACTATTTACCAAATAACAAAAATATTTGAAGGATACGACTAAACGCATGCTTAAAACTATTTTTTCTTTCTCTCTCTCTTTCTCTTTCTATTTCTCTCCTATTACTTTATTCATCATATACGCTTTTTGTAATAATTTTTTTACAAATTTCAGTAGTAAAGTTACAAACAAATTTTAAACTGTGCATGATTTCAAAATGCTCGTAAATAATAATTCACATTTTTAATTATAATATAATTTGTGTACCTAGCGAACACGAGGACTAGTTCGTGGCTCCAGAACATAGTGTTTTGTACTGTTACACTATAATAAAGTATTGCCGATATACTTAGAAAACCCACATCGTATTGTCCAAGCGATTTTTTTCCTATTATAAATTTTGCTGAAATCAAGAATATCAATGACATCAAATATGCATTGCAATCATGGATGTATATAATTATATATAATATATACATATATATATATATCATTATTTTTTCATATATATGTATATATATATAGTTTTGTTTTTACTCTTTACATCGGGTATAATTAAAATAATAATGTCGCATAGACCTGTTGGTCACGCGTCAGCAGATGACATACAGATAGTTGCTACAGGTCACCCAGAGACATTTCAGTCCGAGATTGATAAACTTGTTGGTTGTTTGATGGAGATTGAACGTTGGATGTTGAGCAATTCCCTGAGGTTGAACCAGAGTAAAACTCAGATGCATCCTGTCGGTAGATGGCAGCAGTTGTCAAGACTTAATATAAACTCGGTTGAAGTTGGTGACGTTGAAGTATCATTTGCTTCTACAACCTTGAATTTGGGGGTATGGTTGGATAGCAGGGCTCTCAATGAAAGATCAAATAAAGTCGCTATCAATTGCAAGTATGATGCATCTCAGAAAATTGTACAAGATTTGACTCTGTTTGAACAGATCTGCCATGGAAACACTGGTACATGCTTTTATTACATCCAGATTAGATTATTGTTACAGTTTACACTTTAAAATACCTGACAAGTCAATAGCTGTACTTCAGTCTATTCAAAACTGAGCTGCAAAACTTGTCACAAAAAATCTGAAGTTCGATCACGTGACTCCAATCTTGAATGACCTACACTGGCAAAAATTGAAAAAGAATCATTTTCAAAATCGCTGTCTTAACGTTTCGGTCATTACATGGTTTAGCACCACAATATTTGGCAGACATGTTCAACAGAAAAACATCTGTGTTGGGTTCGCAGTTGAGATCAAATGACATGAACCTTCTGGTTGTGCCGACAACGAATTTACAGGCCGGATCACGCAATATTGCTGTTGCGGGACCGGTGGTTTGGAACAGTCTACCGTCGTTTCTCAGAAGACCAGATCTATCTTTGTTTTTGTTTAAAAAGGAGCTAAAGAGTCATTTATTTTCGCAGAATTAACAATGTCTTTTTCTTCGTTTGATTAATGTTTTGTTTATTCATTTATTTTAGGGAGCACTTTTGAGATCTTTTTTTGTAATTAGCGCTGTACAATTGACATTTAATAATAATGATATATAATATCCATGATTGTAATTGATGCGTGGATTTTCAACAAGTTTGGGTTCAGGGCCTGAAAAGAGCTAATAAATAAATAATCAAAAATATAATTAATGAAATAAATAAATAATAGAAAACAAAAAATAATAGGCTCAAAATTTACTACAAATTGAAAATAGTTAGCTAAAATATTGTGAAGCAAATGCACTATCACATGCTTGATAATCAAAATCCTACGAAAAATGAGTTTATATCGTAGGGAAACTTGAAAGTAGGATGTCTTCAAACTGATGTATAATTATTTATGCAAAATTTTTGCTATATAAAAACAACGGTCGTAAGATATTTACAAATTTTTAAACTCAGGAATTTTAAATAAAGCTGGAAAATAATTTATTAAAAATCGACATTAGACATGGTAAGTTCACAACATCGGTTAACATAATTATGGTCAACATAACTAAATGACGCACCAAATGTACCGTACCACCAAAGTTTTTTGGCATTTTGGTGGTTCGATGGTTTCGCGATCAATGACAATGTTGCGGTTGCGCTGTTGTAATGTTAGAGAACATCAAATCAGAAAGAGCAGTGCATAGGAGTAAAAAGAAGAAAAGAACAGTATTCGTCTGGGCAGGCTGGACACGAGTTTGTTTGAAATTACTTTTAGACAAAATTGTTTGAATAATTAAAAAGTTTGATTAAAAAAATCGTTTTATAAATTATGCTAATGGAGAGAAATTGCGAATTTTGGTAATTCTCGCAGTCTTGTATTTTTTCGAAGTTATAATTATAACTTTTTTAAAGGCTTATCAGTGAGAGACGGGTAGGAATGGTAAGATGCGGTATATATATATATATATATATATATATATATATATATATATATATATATATTAAATTACTAATTTATATTAAATTGTGTCCTTCATATAATCAACCGTTATAAATAAATAAATTAATTAATAATAATAATAATATATAAAAATAATAATGCTCACACAAGCACATCTCAGGTGAATTATTTATTTATTTAGCGTCACATTTTTTGCCAACCAATCAAGCCTTACTAACAAATTAAAACATTTCTACGCAATTGACATGAAACTATCGAAACCTCTACCTCAGCAGGATATCTATATAATTGCTCGAAAGTGATTCAAATTATGAATGTTCATCTTGAAAATGTTTCAAATGTAATTATCATAAAATAAAGAGAACACTTTTTATTCTAGCCATAAAACGTACAAAATGAATATAAAAAGTTGACAATGAATGAATGGAAATAAGCAGGAGTTTGTAAAAAAAAGATGAAATAAAATAAAAAACTTGAGTGATCTACACGGCCCAACATGATTCAACGTGGATGAGTGTAATAGGATCTGGTTAGTTAGTTTCAAAAGTTACATTTAATTGACATGTCTGTCCCAATAAATAAAATGTGACAACGGTAACACAGTGTTAATAAGACTATTACAAAATTGGACGAACCAAGCAAGATTGATAAACGTAAAATTAAAAAAAAAATCAAATAAAACTGAAAAGCAACATTTTAAAAGCGTTAATTATAATTTTTAATGTTTTAAATTATGGAGAAATTATTTTAAAAGTTGTAAGAATATTTTATCATTTCATATTTTTTTGAATTTAGAAAATTATCTTTATGCCATTCAGTAGTAACTTCCAATATTTCAGTCGTGCCCTTGCAAAGTAGCGCT